TATAAAATGGGATGAAAACGCCCTCTCTTGTGGCCATTATGAAAATTAAATCACAAAGTGTCTCCAGTCTGGCTCCTGGTAGTCACTCAAACATTAGCCCTATTGCTCCCCATATGGATTGAATTGTGTCCCCCCAAAATATGTGTCAACTTGGCTAGGCCATGGTTCTCAGTGTTATGTGGTTGTTGTCCATTTTGTGATCTGATGTAATTGTCCTCCGTGTTGTAAATCCTAATCTCTGCCTGTGGTTAATGAGGCAAGATTAGGTTACATTAAAGAGGATGAGGGTGGGATGCAACATGCTTACTCAGGTCACAGCCCTGATCCAATGTAAGGGGAGTTTCTCTGGGGTGCGACCTGCATCACCTTTTACCTTACAAAAGATAAAAGGAGAGAGAAGTGAGCAGAAGAGAGAGGGACCTCCTACCACCAAGAGAGAATAGCCAGGAGTGGAGGGCATCCTTTGGATCCTGGGTCCCTGCGCCGAGAAACTCCTAGACCCAGGGGAAGATTGATGAAAAGGACCTTCCCCCAGAGCCAACAAAGAGAGAAAGCCTTCCCCTGGAGCTGGCGCCCTGAATTCAGACTTCTAGCCTCCTAGACTGTGAGAGAATAAATTTCTGTTGGTTAAAGTCATCCACTTGTGGTATTTCTGTTACAGCAGCACTAGGTAACTAAGACACTCCCCAAATCACTACCTTTTAAAAATAATTTTCAGGATTAAACTTTTGTAACAGCCTCCCCTGGTGGATTTGGGGTATTGGGGGTGGGTATTGGGATTGATGCTCCAGACTCAGAATTCTGTCTAACTTGCATCACTGTATTCTGACTGTGCCTCATGACTTCTGGGCCACAAGAACATCTGTGATATGAAATCCAGTGGACACCTGTGATGAGTTGGAGCTGATGTGTATACGAGTGATTTATGATGATGAAGATGAATAAATATATGCTGTAGAACTAGCATCCGTTTTATAAAGCAGCTGCAATACGGAGAATTTTAGCAAGAGACAGAGTTAATTAAGTGGGGGGTGGAAGGGAGGCAGGGGTCCTATCTTACCCTCCCCCGAGGAGCAGGGCTGGGAGCGGCACCCTGCTCAGCACGGGGTGTACCTAGAGCCACGCGCTGTCTTCAAGAGAAAAGGCGAGTCATCTTTGACTCCCGACAGTCACTCTCTTACTGCAGATTATGGCCCATCTCCAGATAATTAGCATTTTCCCGAAGTGTTCTTTTCACACTTTTTGCGTGTTCTGTTCACCCACATGGTTCTCCAGATTCGAGTATTTGCCTTCTTAAAAACAGCAAAGACCTGATTTGATGATGGAGTGTTGCAGGGAGCTCGTCTGTCTTGAGAGCACCATGGCCAGCTGGCAGAACAGATGGGCTCGAGCGCAGAGCTGTTATTATTATTATTATTACTACCGAGTTATTGCAGGAGCCTCCTGGGGACTTAGCAGAAGATAGAGGCAGGATGAAGAGCTGCGGTTGAGTTTCCCATTTATTTCCAGCCCCCTTCAAACCTACTAATTATCTCATCAATTGACGTTCTCAGCTGAGTTGGAATACAACTGTATTACAGTTCAACCAAGTGGCCATTGCTCTGGGGCTCTGGCCCTTTAACTTCCCGATGACAGATATTTAAAGTAAGCTTTGAAACGCTTGTGTCTCTGTTTTTACTTTATCATCCACGCAGCGCTCCTGGCTTCCCTGGGACTGTCTTCTGAAGGGCAGAGAAAAGCCGCGCTTGTTAGAAGGTGGTGTCGTGATTTACAGCTCTTTGGACAGGGACCTAATCTTTCTTTGAGAATTTGAAGTAAAAGGAGTTTTAACATCTTGTTCTGACTTTGCATTGCCGTTGGAGTCGGTTGGCTGGTGGAGTTCTCTGGGCCTGTCCTGGGGGGAGGCACTGTGCAGAGTACATGGCTCTGCCTGTACTGTGTGGCTGTGTGTTGCTGACATGTTATTCCAGTGGTTCTTTCAGGAAAGGTCTATGGTTATGGTGTGGGGGCAGTATAAACTTCTGAGTACTTGCATTTGAAAATACCCTTATTTTACCTGGACTGTTGACAAATAGTTTAGGTGGTAGTAGATTCTAGATTCTAATTTATTGTCCCTCAGCCCTTTGGATGCACGTGTTTCTGGTGAGAAGAAAACCAACTAGTTGCTATTGAGTCGACTGTGGCTCATGGTGACTCTGTGTGTGTCAGAGTAGAACAATTGTGCACCAGAGGGTTTTCAATGGCTGATTTTTCAGAAGTAGATCACCAGGCCTTTCTTCCGAGGCACCTGTGGGTGGACTTGAACTTCCAGTCTTGCAGTTAGCAGCAAGCATGTTAACCGTTTGTGCCACTACCTTGGGACTTCTCTGTTACATTAGAGATTTTCTAATGCTTCTAGAAGCAATAGATTTTGTTCACTTCTGTTGCTGCATTTTTGTTTTTCTTTCTTGCAGGTGAAGTGTATGGGGGGTAGAATCACTGGGAGGGTGAGTGGGTGAGAACGGTAGGTCAGGAGAGTGGGCCTGGGTTCTCCCCTGGGTCTTGTCCTCACGGAGGGACCAGATGAGGGCTTGATGGAAGATTGCCAAGGGCCTGTCTGAGCCCTGGTGTTTCTATTCCAAGAGTAGCTCGGACCAAACTGCATTTATTAGCTGTTCTCAAAGTTACCAGTTCTGCCAAGAACAGAAGACAATAGATGTTTTTCTGTTTCTATTGCTCTGTTAGTTAAGATGCACAAATCAAAGGTCAGAGTTACTGAAGCAAAATCAGTAAGGTCTGATTAATTGGCAGAGCTCAACCACAGGGTTAGCCTGAAATTTCCAACTAGCAAGCCTGCCTGCCTGTGACATTCTGGAAGGATGCTTCATTGAAACCAGGCTAAGAGAGTAGCACGGACAGCAACAGAGAAGCAATATTAGAGCAAAACACAAAACGAATGAGCAAACAGAAAGCCAGAAAGCAAATGCCAACAAAGAAAAAAACAGTGACGTAACGTTGGCAATCGAACGGACACTCGTCTGAGAACCCTGGGTGGACCAGTGATACCAGTGGGCGGGGCTGCTCTGGTGAGTGGGAGTTCAGGGGAAAAAGGGCAAGGCGTGTGGCCAGATTTAGGAAATCAGAAATTGGTTTCTTTCAATGCCCGTCCTTGTGTTTCACAAGCATCGTGCCTTCCAGGTTGCCCACCTCTTGGACTGGAGACCCTGAAGATCACTGACTTCCAGCTCCATGCGTCCACAACCAAGCGCTATGGCCTGGGAGCTCATCGGGGGCGACTCAACATCCAGGTACGTGCCCAATCAGAAGGAGTCTGACTTCTTTGCTGGAGTCCCTGGGTGGTGCAAACGGTCAACACACTTGAATGCTAACCAGAAGGTTGGCAATTCGAGTCCACCCAGAGTCACTTTGTAAGAAAGGCCTTGCGATCTACTGCCAAAAA